ACAAGCTAAACCATGTGCATAAGTTAAACCGTGAGGTCTTGGGCGCCGCCGTGAAGCAGTGTCAGGACCTGTTTGGTTTTCGACCCTGACCCTATGGATCTGGGTCACGGGTGCCATCGAATTTCAGAAATGTGGCAACTCCCTTGTGTTTTTGAACCCTGACCCTACGGATCTGCGTGAGGGGTGCCGCCGAATTTTCAGAAATGCGGCAAATCCCATATGTTATTTGACCCTGCCGTTGCCAATCTGCGTGAGGGGTGCCACCGAATGTTGGAAATGAGGCACATCCCATGTGTTTTTGGATCCTGACCCCGCCGATCTGCGTGAGGGGTGCCACCGAATTTCAGAAATGTGGCACACCCCATGTGTTTTTGGATCCGGGGTGCCGCCGCAATTTCAGAAATGTGGCACATCCCATGTGTTTTTTCCCAACCATCCTGTGGTGTTGGGTTCTCGTTTTGAAGAGACAGCGCCCCGCGTCCCACCTCCTCCTCTCCTCCTCCCCCTCCTCCCCTCCCATCACCACCATCATCATCATCATCATCATCATCATCATCATCATCATCATCATCATCATCATCATCATCACCACCATCATCATCATCCCCTCTTCTTCCCCACACCATCGTTACCATCATCACCACCACCCATCATCCATCAGCATCATCATCTGCAGCATCATCCTCATCCACATCCTCAACATCATCGTCATCATCATCATCCCCACCGCCCATGTCGTCACACCCCTCACACGGTTCGTGGCCCCATAGGGAGCGCCACCAAAAGCCCCAGTGGCACAGTTCGCATGCGTCCTCCCCGTCCACCGCAGGCCCATTTCGCCACGCCCCTCACACGGTTCGTGGCCCCATAGGGAGCTCCACCGAAGGCCCCAGTGGCACAGTTCGCATGCGTCCTCCCCGACCACCGCAGGCCCATGTCGGCACACTCCTCACACGGTTCGTGGCCCCATAGGGAGCTCCACCGAAGGCCCCAGTGGGGGTGTCCGCATGCGTCCTCCCCGTCCACCGCAGGCTCATTTCGGCACGCCCCTCACACGGTTCGTAGCCCCATAGGGAGCTCCACCGAAGGCCCCAGTGGCACAGTTCGCATGCGTCCCCCCCGTCCACCGCAGGCCCATTCCGGCACGCCCCTCACACGGTTCGTGGCCCCGTAGGGAGTTCCACCGAAGGCCCCACTGGCACAGTTCGCATGCGCCCTCCCCGCACACCGCATGCCCATTTCGGCACACCCCTCACACGGCTCGCGGCCCCATAGGGAGCGCCACCGAAGGCCCCAGTGGCACAGTTCGCATGCGTCCTCCCCGTCCACCGCAGGCCCATTTCGGCACACCCCTTGCACGGCTCGTGGCCCCGTAGGGAGCTCCACCGAAGGCCCCAGTGGCACATTTCGCATGCGTCCTCCCCGCCCACCGCAGGCCCATTCCGGCACGCCCCTCACACGGTTCGTGGCCCCGTAGGGAGCTCCACCGAAGGCCCCAGCGGCACAGTTCGCATGCGTCCTCCCCGCCCATCGCATTTCCATGTGGCGCACCCCTCACACGGTTCGTGGCCCCGTAGGGAGTTCCACCGAAGGCCCCACTGGCGCAGTTCGCATGCGCCCTCCCCGCACACCGCAGGCCCATTTCGGCACACCCCTCACACGGCTCGCGGCCCCATAGAGAGCGCCACCGAAGGCCCCAGTGGCACAGTCCGCATGCGTCCTCCCCGTCCACCGCAGGCCCATTGCGGCACACCCCTCGCGCGGCTCGTGGCCCCATAGGGAGCTCCACCGAAGGCCCCAGTGGCACAGTTCGCATGCGTCCTCCCCGCCCACCGCAGGCCCATTCCGGCACGCCCCTCACACGGTTCGTGGCCCCGTAGGGAGCTCCACCGAAGGCCCCAGTGGCACAGTTCGCATGCGTCCTCCCCGCCCACCGCATGCCCATTTCGGCACACCCCTCACACGGCTCGCGGCCCCATAGGGAGCGCCACCGAAGGCCCCAGTGGCACAGTTCGCATGCGTCCTCCCCGCCCACCGCAGGCCCATTTCGCCACGCCCCTCACACGGTTCGTGGCCCCATAGGGAGCTCCACCGAAGGCTCCAGTGGCACAGTTCGCATGCGTCCTCCCCGACCACCGCATGCCCATTCCGGCACGCCCCTCACAGGGTTCGTGGCCCCGTAGGGAGCTCCACCGAAGGCCCCACAAGCACAGTTCGCACGCGTCCTCCCCGCCCACCGCATGCCCATTTCGGCACACCCCTCACACGGCTCGCGGCCCCACAGAGAGCGCCACCGAAGGCCCCAGTGGCACAGTCCGCATGCGTCCTCCCCGTCCACCGCAGGCCCATTTCGGCACACCCCTCGCGCGGTTCGTGGCCCCATAGGGAGCTCCACCGAAGGCCCCAGGTGGGGTGTCCGCATGCCGCCCCCGTACCCATGTCGGCACACCCCTCACACGTTTCGCGGCCTCATAGGGAGCTCCACCGAAGGCCCCAGTTGCAGGGTCCGCATGCCGCCCCCGCACCCATTTCGGCACACCCCTCACACGTTTCGTGGCCCCATAGGGAGCACCACCGAAGGCGCCTGTGGCTGCGTCCGCGTGCCTCCCCACCATCCATTTCGGCGCACCCCTCATTCCTCACGTTTCGTGGCCCCTGGCCCCACAGCGAGCTCCACCGAAGGAAGGCCCCAGCGGAGACTTTCGCCCCCCGTGGGCCTCTTGAAACAGTTTGCGAGCGTTCTGCCGGTGCGAGAGACCCTCCAGAGGCCCTCTGAAATGTAATTCGCGCAATATCACGTGGTTCAATGTTCAACGGAGCTGCCTCCTGGCCTGCGCGGGTCTGGAGCCTGGCTCCCAACGACGCGGTGCGAATTCCAGTTCGCAGAACTTTGAAACGGCGTTGTGAACGGCCTTCTCTACCTCGTCGCAAAGCGCCACTTGGCTCTACATGAAATTCAATAGTGCCCGTGTGTGCAGTTCTCTATGGCTGGAGAGGGACCCTGAAAAAGGCTCCCTGTCAGGCGGCGGGAGAGGGACCCTGAAAAGGCCCCCTCTCCCGCCTGTGCGTTGCCGGAGGGGCGCCCTGAAAAGGCTCCCTGTCCGGCGGCGGGAGGGGGGCGTTGAAAAGGCTCCCTCTCCCGCATGTGCGTTGCCAGAGAGGGGCCTTGAAAAGGCCTCCTGTCCGGCGGCGGGGGGGGGGCCGTGAAAAGGCTCCCTCTCCCGC